GACTCAATGAGTGAAAATCAGCCAAGGAAGGAGGGCTTCAAGATCCGAAGAACACCAAAGGCTCTGTAAGCTGTAAAGTCGGCAGAAGTAATGAAGGATAATGCTGGGAATGTTCAGCCAAATACAGTCCTTGTTCACATGCTCCCTATAATGAGACGTCTTAACCTAACCCCTATAAGATTTGATGAGGACACAGGATTTGTAAGGTTTTTGAGCAGTCTGTATCACTTTATCTTACTTTTATCTGCTGGTGCACACAATTATCTACACTACAGAAAACATTCACATTTTATCACATTTTCCATGCATTCATTTTTTTAGAACATCCTAAATATGTGTCACAATTCTGCCACATTTTATCATACAAATAATTCACATAATCACCATATGTTAAATATATGAAACTCTTCCTTCACTCTAAAAGGACCTCATTGAGGTACTCTTTATAATTTTTAGTTTGATTTTCCTCACTCACTATCATTCCCTAAGATTCATCCAAGTTATAGCATGTATCAACTGTTTGTTTTTGATTATTGCAATTGCCTGATAGTACTGCACTATATGAAACTACCAACGATTGTTTCATTAAACAGGGTAGAATACATTTGGGATGGTTCCAGCTCAGCCATTATACAAAAAGCTGATATAAAAACTTGTGTGCATAGTTGAAGATGTACATCAATTTTCATCCTCTGGAATTTAAGCCCGGATGGATTTGTTGGCTGATATGGCTAAATGGACACTATGTTTCAGAAAATGAGAAAGAATTTTCAGCTGTATCACTTTGCTTCTCCAAACAGCAACATAAGTAAGATCAAGTTTCTTCAAATCCATAATGAAAACATAAGCTATGAATTTATTTTTTTTAAAGATTTATTTTTATTATTTTTTTATTGGAAAGGCAGATATACAGAGAGAAGAGACAGAGAGGAAGATCTGCCGTCTGATGATTCACTCCCCAAGTGAGCGCAATGGCCGAAGCCAGGAGCCTCTTCCAGGTCTCCCACGTGGGAGCAGGGTCCCAAAGCTTTGGGCCATCCTCGACTGCTTTCCCGGGCCACAGGCAGGGAGCTGGAAGGGAAGTCGGGCTGCTGGGATAGAACTGGCGCCCATATGGGATCCCAAGTGTGCAAGGCAAGGACCTTAACCACTTGCGCCACCGCGCCAGGCCCTATGAATTTATTTTTTAACTTTACCATTCCAACAGGTGTATTGAGACACTTACTGATTTCTTGTTTGTCTTCTTGCCTGTATCTTCATTTGACCTTTCCTTTGTGTGTTTGTATTTCAATTTCCTTTTCAGATACAGATAGAAACCATACTTGAATAAAGTCCACCATGTTTGCATTATTTAACTTAATTCACTCTTAAAAAACCTCCATCTCCAAATATGATCATATTTTAGGAAAATGAGGATTAGGACTTCTATGTGGCAACATAACAAAGACACAATTTATTCCATACCAATGTTCTTACTAAGCACTCAAAATATCTCTAAATATCATAGCAAGTTTACAGGTTATATGACATTTATTAAAAGTGAAAAGTATTCTAGTGTGACTATAGTCTGAAGTGCACGAGGGAAGTCATGAGAGATAATACTCAATATCTTGAATATTGAAACAGATAAATATGAATTCTATGAATTAGAGTGAAGAAGGAGTATACTCTGTGGTATGCAATATAGTCTTTACATTTCTATTCAATTAATAAAAGAAGAAGTAAAAAAATGAAGTGATGATTTCTGAAGAATTGGGGTTTTGGGGAGATTTTCGAACTGGAGATATGTTTTTCTCATTTGGAATGAACATCTACACACAAATGCATTACTACACTGTAAAGGATCTTGAGAAAAACAAAAATGAAAACAAGAGTCAGCTTGTGGTAAACCTTGAATACGTTATCACTTATGTATTGCTCCCCAAGATGCAAACAGTGCTCACATTTCTTGGAACTGAAACTTGGGCTTGTAATTGGCAATTAAGTTCCAGAAGAGCAATTAGCTCTAAGAAAATGGAACAAAATGAAATGGAACAGGCTGGGAAGGGCCAGGCTTCTACTTGCATGTAAACAGGATAGAGGCTGAAAAATGTCTTGATGAGGGATGAGTCTCAATTGATTCTCGTGTTTTCCTCTCAGTTCCTGCACAGGAAATCAAGTAGCATCCCACTGCTCAAAAAGCCTCACTTGGTCACTGATTTTAATGCCGCTACCCGTAGGAATCTGCTAATTCAGAGGAAAGAGACGGTTTCTCTGACATCCTCTCCATAGTTCTTCATCTGCAGAGAGGAGAACGAAAGTAAGATTAAGACTGCTTACCAAAATGTCTGACTTCCAGGTAGGAATCTTTATATATAGCCTTCTTTGGTTTCTCAAGTGCTGTGGCCTCAAGAAGATTGTTTAGGAGCTTCTCACAATTAAAAAAGAAAATTCTGGGGGCAGAACGAGATGCACACTTTCAGAAGGCACTCCAAGAAAAAATGGGCTGGTAATGGGCTTGTTCTTGAGATGTGATCTCAGGAAAATTCCTTTGTCTGTTTTATCTGCACATATTTTTAGTGTGGCAAGATATTTGATAATGAGTGACCTAGAGAACAAGAGAAGCACTGGGGCATGATGGTAAACAAAAGTGGAAATCTTTAGTCCTTACAGAGCTTCTGTTTTGATGAAGAAAACAAATACCTCACATACTAGAGAGAAGTACGAACTGGCATGTCTTTTATTGGACACATCAGAAGCTCTGGTTTTCCATTCTGTTCCTTTTCAGGCACACACAACTGGAGATATCTGTCTCTCTAAAGGAGCTGATGATGGACACATGGACTCCTGGATGCTGCTCTGAGCCTGCTGAGGAAATGCATCTCCTTTCCAGCAGGTGCCTCCTCTGCTGGTGAGTCTTCTGGATCCCACAGTCACAGCTGCCTTTGTGAGAGAGGCAGTGTCTGGGGAGTGCTTTGTTTCTAGTTAGATTCTAATTGCCTGTCTCTCTTCTGTTCCTGGTTTTTTAGACTTCACCTATCTTATGTCTCTGAAGTTATCTTTCCCTAGATTTTATTTCCATTAACATTTTAACATTAACATTTTAAATTGCCAACCTCAGAAATCTGCTGAGTCACTCTCATGCATGAATTGGGAGTCCAACGAATGATGTGGATACCTGGGCAGCTTTGGTGACTTCACATGCACACTATGAAATCAGGAGCAAATCAACCATTTCATGATACAGTTCCATATTCTGCAAGGTAGAACAAAAGAATACTAACTCGCACCTCACAGACATTGAAAGTATGAAAAGTAAGATCACTGCCTCAGCCTCCTTTTAATTTAGTTAATAAATGATTTATGTGTTTGTCATGAAGAGAATAGATTTTATGTATATTATACGTACAAATCTAGGAGTTGAACATATTTTCTATTATCCTTAACCCTCTCTTATACCTTACTTTCTTTTTTCTTTAATTTTTACAAATACATAATTTAAGGCACTCTCTAGTCAAAGAATTAGTCTACCACTACCCTTCATAACCACTACCTGAAAGATAACAACTATTTAATAAAAGTGTTGAAAAATGACTAAAACAAACATTATATCACAATATGTTCCTTTCACTACTAAATAATTTAATAATCTATATTAATTGCAACACTCAGAAAATATACAATGTTTCTGGAATAATGGTCAATTAGATCCTTCTTATGAAAAACTCAGCATTTTATGCCTTTTTAAGGCTGAGTATTATTTTTCCACTATATTTACAGCGGAGTTTCTTTAACCAGTCATCAGTTGATGGAGATTGGACATCTTTTCTTTGGCTGATTTCATTTCTTGTGGGTAAATCCCACCCAAAAGTGGATGGCTGTGGTAGATTCCGACTTCTGAGGAATCTCCACGTTGCCCTCTATCGTGATCCTACCAGCATACATTCATACCAAAAGTTGATTACAATACCTACTCATACACATTCTTAGTAATGCTTATTGTTCGTTCTTTCCCTTTCCTTTTTTTGATGATAGTCTTTTTAGTGAAGTCTTGTTGTGGTTTTTATTTGCATTTTCCTAGTGGCTAGAGATCCTCAACATTCCTTCATGTATCTTTTAGGCATTCAAATTCCATTTCTTGAAGAAATCCTACTTATGTTCTTTGCCCATTTCTTAACTGGATTGTGTGTTCTGCTGTTGTTGAGTTTCATGAGATCTTTACACATGCTGAATATTGATCCTTTGCCAGTTGCTTGGCTTGCAAAAGTTTTCTTTCATGTGTTGGTTGCCCCTTCATTTTGTGGAGGGTCTCCTTCACAGTGCAAAAATGTCTTAGTCCTAGCAATATTCAGCGAAATTGTGTGACAATTTGCATGGCCAATACACATAGCCCCCTTATTCATTCATTTTTTTTATTTACAGATCCCATGAGTATCTAAGCTATCCTCCAAAATGGAACAGCGCACAGAGCAACAAACAAAGGAGAATAGAAAATCACTCCTTGTCCACACAAAGCTGACCACTCGCTATTTTGTTTCAGCAAGAGGTCTGGCCATTCCCACTGCCTTCCTAGCAAGTTTTCACATTCCATCATGACCTTAGATCATGGTCTGCTCTCTCCCTGGTGAGTATTACTCTCTCAGTTATTGTGGTGTGCATGGTCATACCTGGGCTTCCCAATCTCTGCACTTACAATGAAGTATTGATCCACATAGCAGAAAATTGACTTCAGTACTACAAGGTGGCCAATGACAAGACATGGTTGAGGATCATAAATATGGATTATGATACTATGGAATATTCCTAGAGCAATTGAGGCCCTGTGTCATATAGTAAGCCCTGAGTTTTGAGTGACTGAAAACTGGATTCAAATTCAATTTTCAGATTCCTAGAAATTATTTATGCTCTGTAATATTACTCCCCTCCCCAGTATATAAGGAATACTCAGGTCAAATGAGAATCAAAGCTAGGCAATAATTATTTGTGTTCCCAGGGACACCACTCATGGTGGATATCTGAGCATGAATTCAAGCATCCCAGTCAGCCTCAACAACATCACAACTCCTGCACCAAAACCTCAAAAGGAGATCCTGATCCTGCACTGGCTGATACTTGGCATTGCTCTGGTTGGACTGCCAGGAAATGGGACTGTGCTCTGGTTTCTTGGCTTCCGCATGCACAAAAATGCGTTCTACACCTACATTCTCCACCTGGCTCTGGCCGACTTCCTCTTCCTCTGCTGCCAAGTTATTGATTCACTTTTGATATTAACCAGATTTCGCCATCCTTTCTCCTTTAACAATCCTTACCACAACTTCTTAATTATTGCAAAAGTCTTTCTCTACATTGTGAGCCTGAGCATCCTCAGCACCATTAGTGCTGAGCGCTGCATATCTGTCCTGTGGCCCATCTGGTATCGCTGCCACAGACACAAACGCCTGTCAGTTATATTTTGTGCCCTCATCTGGGCCCTGTCCCTCACCCTAAGCATAGTGAAAATAACCAGTTGTCTCTCTAATGTTGATTATAGTGAAAATATTTGGTGTCAGATATTTACCTCTGTTGCTGCAGTCTGGCTGGTGCTTTTATTTTTGATTCTCTGTGGATCCAGCCTGGCTCTGCTGCTCAGGGTCCGTAGCTCACAGCGGTTGCCCATGACTCGGCTGTATGTGACCATTCTCCTCACAGTGCTAGTCTTTGTGCTCTGTGGTCTGCCCTGTGGTATTACATGGATATACGTATTGGGAAATGAATTTCTTGCAAACAATTACATTCCCCATTATCACGTGATAACAATCTTCTTGTCCTGTGTTAACAGCAGTGCCAACCCCATCATTTATTTCTTTGTGGGCTCCTTTAGGCAGCAGCTACGAGGACAGTCCTTCAAGCAGGTTCTCCAGAGAGCTCTGCAGGACACTCCTGAGGCGGGTAACAGTGAAAGTAGCTTGCCCCAGGCAACCCAGGTGATGCCAGGGAGAAGCCTGTTGTAGTAGGGTGGGATCCTTTCTGTACCCACACATAGTTTACATTTTTTGCTTTAAAAATTGTTTATTTCAATTTGAGAGGCATGCATACAGAGTAAGAAGGAGAAATAGAAATAAAGAGAGAGATTTTTCCATGTGTCTCTTGTGAGAATAGGGCCCGGGAACTTGAGCTGTCCTCTACTGATGTCCTAGGCATATCTAGGGAGCTTGATTGGAAATGGAGCAGCCCAAACCTTTATGCAATGCTGGCATTACATTGCAAGCTGTGGATTAGCCTTACAGGATTAGCCAAAATGCCGGTCCCTATTTGGCTTTCAAAACTAATTGTTCTGGGTCTGATCTCATAGCCTAGGGGCTAAACCTTGCCTTGCATGCTCCAGGATCCCATATGGGCCCCAGCTCATGTCCTAGCGGCCCTGTTTTCCCTCTAGCTCCCTGAGTGTGGCGTGGGCAAGCAGTTGAGGACAACCCAAAGCCTTAAGACAATGGACCCGTGTGGGAGCCTGGAAGAAGCTCCAGGCTCCTGGCTTTAGATTGGCTCATCTCCAGCTGTTGTGGCCTCTTGGTTTGAATCAGCAGACAGAAGATCTACCTTTCTGTCATCCCTCCTCCTGTGTATCTTACTTTCCAATAAAGATAAATAATTTTTTTGTTAAAACAAAGCACAAACTATTTGTTGCACTATTTGTTGGAATCTATTTCTCTTTTGTCATTGTCAGATTTGATAATCAAATTGTTGGGCTAATAATCCTTGTGACACAGATGTTAATTGACATAGTACTTTGTTAACTTGATACAGGTATTTTGTATGTGTGACTGGCTTCCACTGAGGCTTCAGCCATTCCCATTGGAGCTGCCTGAACTCAAGACCCCACTTTCATAAAATCTTCACTCTCAGTGCAATGATTGAAACAGTGCAACAAGATCTGAACTGCTGGCCATTGCATCTCATGGGAACAGAGATATCATGATATTTCATGCAAGTGTCCTTTTTCTCTCTCCTATAATTTGTCTTCATATAATTAAAACTATTCCATTTCTATAGTTTTCTTTCATTTTCATGGACTGTAGGATATTCTTCTAGCTTAGTAACTCAGCAACATAATGAACAGCTTGATGGTGACTGTAACACCAGTTTTAAAATGAAGGCTGTTAGAAGTTCCCATTTGCCAGATTTAAGACACCATCTTAAATGTATTGATTTTGCCGTTTTCAGCCTTTGTGAGGGTGATGTTAAGTTTTATAGTCAAATAAGTAAACACTGTGAATAGATAGCTTTGGATGGTTTCCTTCCATCAGAATTCTCCCAGCTTCTCTGCTCTCTATTCCCCTCAGTTCTTCCCCTATTTCATCCAAGAATGAACTTTCTTTTCCTCATGGCAGATTTCCAAATGGGATCTAGCCGCTCCATTTGAACCACATAGAGAAGCCTTCCAGTTTAACTTCTATTGCTCAGATCTAATAGCATTTATTGTATTAATTTTATAACACATGCTTATATATATATATATAATATGATGGATATGGTTTATTGTTCATGTCTATATTTTTGATAAACAAGCATTTTGTACTTTGTAGTCACTGAATTCTTTATTTAGTTTATGAAGTTTATGAAGATATATGAGTTGAAATTATGCCCTTGCAAAAACTGTGAGAACATAAGAAAGAGTAACGGTGGGAATGAGTAAGGATAGGATGGGTTGCATCATTGTGCTCCTAAAAGCATATACATGAAATGCTTGAAATTTGTTCCATTTATTGAAATAAAAAAGCAAAAATGACATTAATTTAAAATTCTCCATCATTTTGTTTTTTTATGTTTAGACTTTTTTTAAAGTTCTTTGTGTTATTATTTTTCATGATACAACTCCGTACATTTGAGGTTTCTGTCCTCCCTTTCTCTTTTTTCTTCCCAGTTTTTCCCCTCTACCATTTCCCCCAAAGTATTACAGCAGCGTAGCTCTTATTTTCTGTTACAGGTTTCATAGTCTGTTATTTGACTGCATCATGGCATCATAGGCACAGACAAAGGTCGAAAATCTAGTGTCATATTGTCCAGGAATATTTAACATTTTAATTGGAAGTCATTTTATTTGGGAGTAGAGACACATAACTACAACATGTTTACAGTTCCTAGTACACTAATCTCCATTACACACTTGTTCTATGAGAATATATGGGTATGTTTGTTGGCCTATACATTTCCTTGCTTTGTATTTTGCATAACAGGTGTGAAATAAAATGACTGATTCTTTAAGATTTTTATATTAAAAGAAATTGCTTGAACATTTTCCAGATTTTTTTAATATTTCATATTATCACTAGCAAGGTGTTAGAATTATGGCTGTGATGAATGTGCCTGACAAAGGTAGTATTGCTGTCTTTTCTGTTTTAGACATGGCTGTCAGTGTGAAACAGTATGTCATTATGGTTTTGATTGTCATATTTGTATTTACAGGAAATTATGCACTTTCTATGTTTGTTAGTTACTTAAAAATTTTTAGATGATATGCTTATGTGTAACAACATTTCTCATTTTTATTTTGTATGAGGTTTATAAATCATGAAGTGACGTTCTTAGTTAAATGTATCATACATACTAATGCAGTTGATTATTTTCCTATGTAACTTTTAATAAAGAACTTTATAGTACTTTTATAGTTCTAGAAAATTAGTCCAAGTACTGCATGAAGTCTCAGTATATCTCCTGTCACCCCTACATCTATTGACAGCATCTCCTATTATTTTGCATCACTGTGATACATTTATTAAAGGCAACATATCATCATCACAAACTAATTGGCATGGTTGACATTGTGGTTCACTCTTGTGCTGAACAATCTAATGTGTGTGACAAATGTAGACTGATGTGCATCCACCAACAATGTACCACGCGGAGTATTTTCCAGGACATTTCTCAGACTCCACCAATTCCACCCTTTCCCCAAACAAGAGAAAAACTTGGATCATTTTGCTGTCTCTAGGGTTTTGAGCTTTACCATATTTCATTACTTTGGAATCATTCAGTAAGCTTCTTTTGTGTAGGAAGGCTTATTTTAGTTTGCGGTTTACATTTAAGATTCTTCTAGGTCTTTCCAAAGCTTTGCTATAAACCCAAGTGCACTAAACTCTGAAACTTAGAAACCTGCTCCCACCATAGAAATCCCATTCCTACTTGCTATTGTACTCAAGACCCAGCTGGCTGCACATATGAACAATAACTGAGAGCTCTTAGAACTGTCCATTATTGTGATTTATTGCTCATTGTAAGTCTCCTGTATCCTGAACTGGCCTTGTAAACAACCTGCATACCGTAGGTTTATTGTGAGTGTCCCTTGCAAGCATGACACTGCCAGTTTTAGGTATAACTGTAGGGTAAGACCAAAGATTAGCACTTGACACTTTGCATGCTTGCCCAGTCTAGTCAATGTGTAAATAAAAGTGGCATTTCTCTTAAGTCATGCGTGTCACATGATTTTTTGACCTCCTATCCATAACAACTTGACAGCTCATCACTTTTACTGATAAATGCAGTTTAATTTTTTATGTCTCCTATTTTATCTACATATATACTGAAAAATATTTTGGCTTCCTTAAAAGTTTGACAGTATGGCTAACTTGAATAAAATAGTCATGTGTAGGTTTTGAGGTTGAAAACATTAGCTACCTGTCTTATTTCATACCACCTAAACCAATTTACTTTCCTACAAGGGATGTATACAAGATCTCTGTTCTCAAAGTACTTGCCAGGGATAAGGAATAGAATCCTCATTGTTATTTTGAAATTATTTTTTCTATAGCTGATGATGTTCTTAGATTTTCATGTGCTTACATTATATTTTCATAAATACCCACTTTGTCACCAAGAGCAGCATCTCTCATTCCCACATCTCTTTTGAAACCACCTTGTCTCACTTACTACCCTCACGTAGGTTTGCAGAGTTTTCTCACCTTCTTCACAACAATCCACCAACCAGGTTTCCCTAGAGTGGTTTCCTCTGCCCTTCATTGCATTCACAGAAATGCAACTGTCTGCTCCTCTCTTTAACCATCATTACTACTTGTGTGCTGGTCCTCATGCCTCAGCAACAAAAAACACTTTGCAAGTTATGACCTCTCATTATAACTTAAATGCTTCTTTCTTATTGGACCATCCCAGTGCATGTGAATGTACTGTTCAATCCCCAATTTAAAATCTTACCCAAGGGCTTGGTGCGGACGCCTGGCAGCTAAACTCCCCACCTAGCAAGTGCCGGGATCAAAAATGACTACTGATTCTAACCTTACAGCCCAACTTCTCATCCAGCTCCCAGGGAATGTACTTGAGGATGGCCTAAAGCCTTGAGATCCTCTCCCCCATGTGGGGGACCTGGAAAGAGGCTCCAGGCTCCTAGCTTTGGATAAGAACAGCTCAGACAGTTGCAGCCACTTCAGGAGTGAATGCACGGACAGAAGATCTTCCTCTCTGTCTCCCATCCTCTCTGTATATCTGACTTTCCAATAAAAATAAAAATAAAAATAAAGCTTTAATAAAAAGCTGAAAAATTCACCCAAGAAGCTTGTGTTGTGGTGAATCAGGTTAGGACACTGCTTGCAAGCACAATATCGCCTATCCAAGTGCTAGCTCAAGCCCTGGTTGGTCAGCTTCCTGTCCTGCTCCCTCTTGACTCACCTGAGAACATTACAGATGATGACTCAATTAGGTTGGCCTGTCATACACACGGAAGACTCAGATGCAGTTCCTATTAGATCCTGACTTTAGCCTGTCTTGATCCTAACTGCTGTGGTCAATTAGGGAATGCACCAGGAGATGGAAGATTTCCTACTCAAATCCCTGCCGTGTGTGTGTTTGTGAGTTTGTGTGTATGTGAGTGTTGAACCCTTCTCTCTTTCAAAATCATAGATAATTTTTAAACCCATTCATTTCTGTTTGTCCACATTCTACTTAGTTTCCTTTCAGTGAGAGAAATTATCTTGAATAATTTTCTCTAGTCATCAACATATTT